GGGGGGAGGGCGAGGGCGACAAGTCCTGTGGGCCGGGCACGAGTGGTAGGCGCCGCGGCGTGTCCCTGTCGCGGGCCTCTGCGACCCGGTTCCTCTCGGGCTCGGGCACCCGAGTGCAGGAAACTGAAGCCCGAACCCAGCTGGGCACAGGCTCCTTGTGAAATGGAGTTTGGCATCCTGGGCGCTGAACCCAGTGGAAGTTTCCATGAGGAGGAAGTTGTAGGACATAGGGGTTCGGAAGAGGCTGACAGGAGCGGGGGTGGGCGTTTTCAAGGGACCGTGAGTCTCCTGTCCCCCTCTTTTTCCTCCTGCCCCGGAACTCGAGGGTTTGGAAAAGAGAAAGATCCTGAATGTTACATGCGCTGGCCAGAGCCTGGCGGTTCTGCCTCTCACCGCCTCCGCGGGCTCGCTTGCTCCAGAGTAGCTCTTTTGCTTTGCTTCTCTTGACGCAGCATCTTTTGGGGTCGCTCCGGTTGGTGGTGATCCAGGTGGTGTCGGCTGTGAGCCCCACGATCGGGAGAGGCATCTTTGGAGAGTTTCTATTGCTTAGTGTCAGTTGTCATTTTGAAGGAAGATTTCCCGTGACCACAGTGGGATTATTATGGGAGCTAATTCTTAAAGCCTTCTGGTTTGTTTTTAGGAGGGAGGGGGCGGGGTGTGCCTTAGTGGGTTGTTTATGTGTTTAAATTAAAGGCCAAAAGTATAATTTGCCCCAAATGAGAAGTTTTTAAAGGGTCTGCTAGGCATTCCTAGAGTCAAATAAAGAAAGGAGTACCTGGACAGGCAGGTTGGGTCTCCCATACTGCCTTTTCCAGCGTCTGGAGAACTCAAAGGCTCTGTTGAATCAGAAAATAACATTGACTAAATCCTCCCTCCTCAAGTCTGGTTGATCCTAGGTACTAGTGGTCGGTGTTAAAGACCTGTTGTGAAACTGAGCAGATCAAGCATTCCTTGTTCCGTGCGTGAATAGGAGAACACGGCAATTTTGTTAATGATGAACATGTTAAGCCCCATAGATCTGCTGGGAAGTGTCTTTATACGATTTGGCTTTGGCTTAGCTTGTTTGTTGACACTGTCATGAAATGTTGCCTCACTGAATTGCAAAGGAATAAAAATTTCTTTTTGGTTAAAAAAAATGTTCCATGATTCATTCTGAATATTCTGGATGACTGATCTCCCAAATTCACCTCAGCTTGTTATTTCTCGTCCTGAAAGGAGGCATGTGCTGGGAACCATTAACGAAAAGGTGTTTGAGTAGGAAGTATCTTGAACAGTGGCAAACTTTAGGGTGTTTTCATGCTGATTGGTTGTGCTTCAGTTGACCCTGGCAGAAATTAAGTAAAAAGTGCTTTGCTTGGGGCATTTTTTTATGTGAAGAGATTGGTGGAGAGCAATTTATCATTTGCCTATGTTAAATAGATACTAATAGAATCCTATTTTTAAAGGTTTATTATGTAGTGGAGGTGGAAAAATCTGCTTTATTTTTTTTAAGTAAAAGTAGATGGTGTTGAACATAGCTCCGTAATTGTTTTCCTTTTTAAAAAATAATGAAACAATTCTTTTTGGCATTACAATGCAGAAGCATAATCTCATTGACACGGAGGTATTGCTAAATAAAGTAACTGGCTTTAAGAGCAGAGTAAATAATCCAGCTCTCCCCTTCCAGCTTCTCTGTGGTAAATTTTGCTCTCACAAGAAATGAGTTGCAATTTCACTGTGATCCAGCCCCCCTGGGAAAGGTGCTCTGTTAAGCTCTCCTTAGGAAGAGAAAGTCGAGGCCCCCTCCTTGCCTGTTTGTAGATGCTGGGAGAATGCTTGGAGCCACTAACAAGCTTCCCTGCTTTCTGTACAGTAAGCTCGTCTTTTTCACGGCAATCAAAGTAAAGGTGATGAGTTTCTTTCCCATCGTGCTCTGGTGTAGGCTCCAGGTCACCTTCTTAGACAGCCTTTCCCTGAGCACTTGAGGGGAGCTAGTCCTCCATTCTCTCAAAGGTCTCTCTTCTGTTTGTTCTGCCCTCTCCGCTATGTTCAGAACTGTTCCTTGGATATTTGTCAATTTCCTTTTTGAAACTAAACTCTGAATATTCTAGACGACAGTGTGGAGTCTTGGAGGACCACAGTGCTGACTGCTTCCTTCTCTTTTGCTCTCCTTGCATCTGCAGGGATGCTTGGCACACAGTAGGCACTGGGTACATTTTAATTGAACGAATTAGAGTTTGTATGCCCAGACATTGTCCTCCCCCAGAAGCCTGACTAGGTACTTCAACCATTGCCACTTTGGACATGCCATATCTGGTGAGGTGTGAACACACGCACACACATGCACACACAGATGCACATGCATACACACACACACACGCACACACACACACACATACACACACAATTAAGACTCAATCTCTGCATTTCTTTCTCATCCCTTGTTTCTCTCCATCTGGAAATAATGCTCTGCCTTTCTGCATAGTTAATTCTCCAGGTTCCTCCTGCTGGCCTTGGCCGTGTACACATGCTCAGTTGAGCTTTTGCTGTATGTGTCCTCAGTCCACTTGATGCCTGATACCTTTATTTCCTGAGTTTCAGCAAAAAAAAAAAATCTTCCTTGTTCCAGAGGCATTGTCAAGACCAAGAGTGAAACTCCTGACCCTGGGCATCACAGGTGAACATGAGGACTTTCTTGCTTGCAGGTCTTGGGAAGGTGGCAGCTCAGAGGAGACCAAGGGCTTTCAACGGTTGTGTTTAGGCTACAAAAATGGTGGTTGGAGAAGGGGAAATCAGGCTGGGTGCACCACAGCCTAGAAAAGTTCTTGATGATAGATTTATAAATAGCCCGCTCATTATTATGTGCTGTTAGCCAACCAGGCTTTGCCTGTGCCTCCTTTTTCCCTCTTTCAACAACATATTCTCATTCGGGTGGTTGTGAAGCATATGCATATGGTTTTCATAGGGTACCTAAAGGGTCATCTAAAAACTATTGTGCGTTGCAGTTCTTGCCAATTCAGAACTCAAGGAAATTGCAGTTGATAATCGTGGCAATTTATTTTCATAGAGAACCAAGTTTTAGAAATGTGCCTGAGGAGATACATAACAAAACCCCGCAAAGCAGGGCTGAAGAGATGGCTCAGCAATCAAGAGTGCTCGATGATGTCGCAGGAGACCCGAATTTAGTTCCCAGCACCCATGTCAGGCAACTCAGAACTGCCTGTAACTCCATCTTCAGGGGATTTGATGCCCTCATCTGGACTCTTTGGGCATCTTCACTTGAATACATATAGCTTCACACATATACCTTTCTTTTAAAAAAATAATAGTGAAAATAATTTTAACTAAAAAAATTCCTACAAAATAATTAATGCTGGTATTGTTACTAGCGGGAGGGAAGCACAAAATCAACGTTTGGGGGAATGAGGAAGATAATTACACCAAAATCCAAAGTGCTTACTGCTTTAGCATATTTAATTTAGTGCCAAACTTCGTGGTAGCCAGGTTAACAGAAAAAGGGGGATGGTGTCTATCTGGAATTGATAATCAA